TTTTTTTTTTATTATTTGAAATTGGATTCAACCATGAGAGACAATGAGACAGGAATCACATCAACATTAAATAGATTGAAATGACTGACTTTGGATCTAAAGAGACAACCTGCTTCTTAAAGAATCAGTTTTGCCAATGATTGAGCAAATGAAATCAATGCACGTTGCCTGAGTTTAATCATTCCCAGAAAGATATCATAAATCGACAGTAGCTACTTTGCAGCATGGTAAGACTCAAATAAAACATACACAGAGCATCTTGAAGACAGTCTCACTAGAGAGCTTGTGCTCTGGAATTATTTGGTATTATTAATGTGATTCATCATGCATTGCGCAACATTATTTCTTTCCAATAGCTTATAAAAAGTGATATTATTATTCTTTTCCAAATATAAACTTTCTCAAGATACTTATACTTACTTTATTAAATTGTTCACGGCATCTGGGTCATATGCCGTAACCTGTCCTATAATGCTGCCTTCCTTCACGTCTTCATCCACTTCCATCAAGTAAGAAATTTTGCTGAACACAGGGGGCTCATCTATATCTTCCACTGATATTTTGACCACTGCAGTGTCCTTGAAAGGCCCCAGGTGTAAGAATCGTGGATCAGGATGAGTGTTACTTGCAACCACTTTTATAGTGTACAACATTTTGTTTTCAAAATCTAAATTCTGAAATTAAATAAAATAAGAAAAATTAGCATAATTTACAAGACATCCTAATAAAAGACAATTGAAAAATTTGATAACTCACTTTCTTAATGATAACAATAATTCTGCTTAAAAACCTTTCCCAGATATTACTTTGTCAGAATTTCAAATCAATCATTGTTTTACACTACATTTACATATAAATGGCTAACTGAATGTAATGGTATCCACATTAAAGGTGAGCCCTACTCACTAATGTATTTCAATTATTTTTTGTAGTTGTAGGCAAATGAAGTGTTATTTAATAGATGCACAGATTAGGTATTATTATTATTATTAAAATTATACACAGTTAAAAGCAGAGGAAAGATAGAAATTTGTTGTAAAAATGATTTGTACTTCAATAATCTCATCATTTGTGGAAAACAAGGTATGAATGGAAAAACTGAGACCAAGACAAAGTAAAATGTTCAATATTGAGTTGAATTGTTTTATGTTAAATTCCAGAATGTTCTTTCACAATGCATTTTAAAAATCTAGAAAACTATCATAAAACACATAACATGTAATATGCACATATTTCATTTACTTAAATAAACTATCACACACAATTGAAATATTTTGAGAAGTACACAAAGGTCTGCCAGTGACATGGTGGTTAAGGCTGCTGAATCCCACATGACTAACTATGCTGTTTGAATCCGAGACCTGACAGCAAGAAAAATATTCTAGGTGCAAGTGCATATGTGTCCAGATTCCTGAAGGAAAAATGGAGGAAGAGGGATTATGGCATGACCATCCCCCATGGGGGATGCTTTCTCTCCTTCCTTTTCTCTCTCTTTCTCTATGTACAGGAAGCACATGCGCTCTCCAGCAAATTACAAAATGAAAATAGAAAAAGAAAAGAGCATAAAATTACAGTTATGATAGGACCAGCAGATGGTTACATCACTGGACTTCCACGTAGTCGACCGCGGTTCAAATCTCAGACCTGGTGGCTTAAATTCATGCCAGGTGCCTGTGCGTGCATACCCAAGATCCCCAGAGAAGAATGGAGGAGAAGGAATTGCGGCATGGCCATCCCCCCCGGGGGGGGATTTCTCACTTTCTGTCTCTCTCTCTCTGTCTTTCTGGTGAGCGCATGTGCCCTATAGCAAAAACCTCTCCCTCCCCATAAAACAGAAAACAACAACAACAACAACAAAACAGTGATGGCTGTATGTCTATTTTTTTCTTTCTTAAAGAAATACAATACAGGTTCCTCTGAGTTTTTATAATTCTTGTTTGGTATTGTCTACCATAGCATAAGCAGCTGTAGTTCTAACTAAGCAGTTGTAGTTTTAACTGCTATAGAACTATCAATGCTAATGAAGATGCTTAACATATTTAAAGTAAAGTCACAATTATTCCCATTTTCATGAAGTCTAGGCAACATGTAAAAGATGGAGAGAAATAAATCCCAACTTTTCTTCTCTTTACTGAAAAGCAAAAAATTAAACTGTAGCACACTCAACAACAACAAAAAATGAAGACAGCAAAAAGAAACCTGTTTGACAGTTATAATCCCTTCCTGTGTATCCTTGTCAGTGATGACATCAAACATATCTGCTCCATCTCCTTCAGCAACGCTATATTCCATTTCAGCATTTTCCCCCACGTCTGGGTCATAGGCTTTTATCCTTCCAAGATGGGTTCCGAGAGGTACAGACTCAGGAGAATTAAATTGATACGTACCTGGAAATTAAATCAGAGCTACTATGACATTTCATCTTAGATAACAAAATTCTTGCATTCCCTCTGCCTTTTTCACTTAAATAAATTAATTTTAAATTGAAAGAATATTTCACTATATTGAATTGTAAGCTGTCTAAAATTGTAGATTTATTAGCCTGGAAAAATAATTTACAAAGGCAGAGCTCTCCCATTTTGTAAATGAGAAGCATAAGTCCCAGAAAGATGAAGTGAATGTCCCAAGGTTATTTAGATAATAGATGGTAAGCCTGATATTAGAATTCAGAACTTTTGACTTAAAAGGACATGAAAACCCATTATTTACTGCTTATCTAGGGCATTCAAAATTGTCATTGTACATTATTTTGTATATTCAATGATTTAAGAGAACACGCATTTATTATTTTATTCTAATTCAGTAGAAAATAATTCCACACTGTCTCTGTTTTTCCTCTGTTGTTTTATTTGCAATATCTTTATGTGCGTCATGATTTTTTTTTTCATTTTTTGCAGGTTCAGCCAAACATTACATTGCATTCTGATGTCCCTAAAACCATTTTAGTCATAGTTATCATTCACGGAGCAATAGAGAAAAATATTTAAAATATTAGTGAGAGTCATATAAATATTTTAATTTAAAAGTATTATCATTTATTATTTGTTCTGGAGAGAGATTTTTGCTATAGGGTATGTGTGCTTAACAGAGAGATAGACAGAGATAGAGAGATAGAAAGCAAGAAATCACATCCCTCCCCACCAGGGGAAGGATTGCAACGCCACAATCCCTTCTCTTTCATTCTACTCTTTGGATTTTGGACATGCACGCACACATGTCCCGCATGAATTTTAAGCCACCAGGTCTGGACTCAAACCACTATCAACTATGTGCGAGTCCAGTGACATAACCATTATGCCATCTGCTGGTCCCATATACAAATATTTTTAAACATATAAAATGAGCTGAGCTCTACAAAGTCAGAGGTCCTGTGTGCTAATTTATTTACTCTCATACTAGTCCTCCAAAGAACATATCAGGTATATCACCTTTAAAGGCAGGACCCAAGCAAATTTTTCTATAGAACTGAGAAAGGAGAATTCAAAACTAAGTTTCTCTGAGTTCAAAGTATATTCTTTTTCCCTTTTGTTTGGTGGTTAAGAATATGAGTTCTGGGACCAGCAGTTAGCATAATGGCTATGTCACTGAACTCCCAGGTGGTCGACCGTGGTTCGAGTCCCAGACCCAGTGGCTTAAACTCACGCCAGGCGCATGTGCGTGCGTGCCCAAGATCCCGAGAGGAGAACGGAGGAGAAGGGTTTGCGGTGTGGCCATCCCCCCTGGGGGGTGATTTCTTGCTTTCTGTCTCTCTGGCTGTCTGGTGAGCGCGCGCTCCCTATAGCAAAAAAAAAAAAAAAAAGAATATGAGTTCTGAGTTCCGAGGCTCAGCCACCGTAGTGCTCAAATAACATTACCACGCGGGAGGCTGGAAGGTGCACGGAAGAGACAAGCTCAGTTCTTGGGCCAGTGTGACTACCAGGCCCAGCTATGTGCCTGTAATCCTCACTGTCTGGGAGGCTGGAGCAGGGCTGTGTTAAAACAAATCTTGTCAAAATACCCATCTCTGTCTCTCTCCCTTCTTCTCTCTCATTCAACTCACTTCCAGTTTCTTTCGTAAAATAATAATAAGCTTACAAATACCATTACCTGAGTTTCTATTCTCACTACTAATCAACTTAAATTCTTCAAACTTTGATGCCCTCATCCACAATGGGAGGATGATAATGATAGCCATTAACTCATAGTGATTAACGAGGATTACATGATGCTATGTCTAAAACACATTCAGCCTAGAACCCACTATCTTACTATATCGTTACAGTTCTGAACTTTTTGTTAAGATGATAATGGATCATAGAATCACAGAGTGTCAAGTGATTTGACAGTTCATACGTTCTCACTTTGTATTTAATGAATCTGAAAGCAGAACTCAGGTTTATGTTATGTGATGTTATTATCCACATTATCAGTAAATAGTATGTTTAACATGTATCATAAGTATGTAACCACTAATCGAAGCCAAATCCTCAAGAATTTTGATCGCCCAGAAGTATTTTACTGTTCTCAAATCAGGCATATGAATTTAAACCTGAGCCCATGAAGAACATTTCACGATAGGGCTCTTTATACTTTTATTCACTGCCACATTAAAAATTTCAGCAGGGAATTAGAATGTTTTTGCAGAATTTCATAAAATGCACAAAATCCATGGCTTAAAACGTGTTCTAAGATGATGACAACTAAATCACTGTTAATTACATTATTCTTTACAACTTATTAATATAAATACTGCAGAACTTTTTTTTTTTTTTGGAGAGATTTTCGCTATAGGGCGCGTGAGCTCGCCAGACAGACAGAGAGAGACATAGAGACAGAAAACGAGAAATCACCCCCCAGGGGGGATGGTCACGCCGCAATCCCTTCTCCTCCCTTCTCCTCTCAGGATCTTGGGCACACATGCACACGCGCCCGGTGTGAGTTTCAAGCCACCGGGTCCGGGATGGTTTCCAAGCCACCGGGTCCGGGATGCGAACCGTGGTCGACTATGTGGGAGTCCAGCGACATAGCCATTACACCAACTGCTGGTTCCCATCTGAACTTTCATATGTCTAAAATGTCATCATAGTCAAAATTTTCTGTAACTATAGGTGCCACTAAGAAAATACAAAAATTTTGGGACCAGCAGTTGGTGTAATGGCTGTGTCGCTGGACTTGCATATAGTTGACTGCGGTTCGAATCCCAGACCCAGTGGCTTAAACTGACGCCAGGTGCATGGGCGTGTGCGTGAGTGCCCAAGATCCTGACAGGAGAATGAAAAAGAAGGAATTGTGGTGTGGCCATCTCCCTCGGTGGATGATTTCTTGCTTTCTGTCTCTCTGTCTCCGTTTCTCTGGCTAGTGCATGCGTCCTATAGCAAACATCTCTCAAAAAAGAAAGAGAAAATAAAAAAACTTTGCCAATTAAACAAAGCAGAACTGAATTTAGCACAGAAACTGATTTCAGAGATGTTAGCCATCAGCGAATTTGTTGATGAATCCATTAAATAATGGGTTATAATTTTTAAGTACAAACAAAATAGCTAAGGCAAGACAAGTGACAGACACAGAATTTGAATCCGGGCAACCAGACTTAAAAGACCACATTCCTAAAGAGGAGGAAGGAAAATAATGGTATGATTATAATACACATTGGAAAACTTTATTCCTTTTCAGAAGACAGAAAAAGCATAAATTCACCAAGGAAGTTCGTATTCTTGTTTTCTCCCTCTATCTACTTAAAAATTGATGAAAATGAAGTCAGCAGGTGGTGCAGTGGGTCTGCTGCTGGATTCCCATATCACCGACCCCAGTACAAGTCCCAGACCTGGTGCCTTGAAAATCATGCGTCCCTGAGATTCCAGGAGGGGTGTGGAGGAGAAGGGATTGTGACACGGCCATCCCCTCTCGGGGGGTGGTTTCTCACTTTTCTTCTCACTGCCCTGTCTCTTTCTCTCTTGTGAGTGCACTTGTTCTATGGCAAAACCTCTTAAAAAATGAATGAAAATAATCATCAACCCTATGAATTTATGGGAAAGTGTGTTTTATTTTGTGGAGTAAAAGGTTGTAAATTTACCTATATTCATAAAATAATAGTAAAATTGCTAGTAAAATTATTAGTCTCTGTTACTGGTGTTTTGCAGATCATTAAATTTTCCTTACTCTGGGGGAATCGAGGAGGATTGTTGTTGACATCCGTCAGCGTGATGTTCACGGTGGTGGTCCCTGATAAGCCTCCCATCTGACCACCCATGTCTTTTGCCTGGATGACCACCTGGTACTGTTCTCTATTTTCTCTGCTCATGTCTGGCAATGCAGTTTTTATTATGCCTTTTGGAAAAAGGACACAAAAGTTATTGCAATTAAACCACTGAGTTTTAAAATTCAGCTAGGCAAGATCCATTTTACAGAAGTTAATCATAACAAATGGATAAAATGTTGGAGTACTTAAACACATCTTTCAATCCATAGCCAATTTAACATAATTCACAGAACAGAAAGAATTCTGCCCTGGGCTATTGTTCCCAAAATGGGTTTTGCTAAATCAGTTCAAATATGTTTTGATTAAAATATTAACATCAGTAAAAACTCTTTAGACAAAGTGAGCTTGCTTAATTTTGATAACTGCCACATTTTTTAGGTTTTGAGTATTTTCTATGTCACATAACGTGCTGAACCTCTGCAAAATATTACATTTGGTGTCTTACACTTGAAACCAATACCATAAGTTTAAACAACTAAGGATTCAGGTAATTTATTTCAATGATAGAAAATTTGTTTTGGTTTTCGTAGAACTGCAGGTAACAAATGAAAACAGGGTAGGTTTTAAAATATGTTAATAATCTCTAAATGGAATACGCATCCAAATATACTATATAATAATAAATGAGTCAAGTATTAAATTGTGTTACCTGATTCTGGGTCCACTGAAAAATATGGCTGTCCTTGCAATATACTGTAGACCACCTTGGCACTGTTTCCGTAGTTCGCATCGTCTGCATCTGTGGCAGTGACTTGAATAACAGATGTACCTACATGAAGCACCCCCCAAACACAGACACTTAAATACTTCTGAATTTGAAACATATTTCTGAAAAATTACTGCTGGTAATTTGATGCATTAGACCATGTTATGTGTTTGAGGTAGTTTGTTTAAAGCTCGTTGCCTCAAAACATCAACAACAACAAAAAACTACTTTCGCCTTAATTCTTATTTTTTAACTTAAATGTATCTGAATTTTATTGTTTCAGTTATTCAAGAAAACGTAATGCAAAATCAAAATATATATTATCTCAAAAATGGATATAATGAGTCCAAATTATGCATGCATTTTTAATTGATTGACAATATGGTGAGGGGCAAAAATTTCTCATTAACTGTAATGCACCTAGAAATTTTAACTAATTCTAGGTATATAACGATAAACCCAATATTTATAATACTCTTGCTGCTTTTTCTCTGGTAAATTATGTATTACACATAGAATGAAAAAAGAGGACTTACTTTTATTAATAAACAAAAAAGATAGAATTGATCTGACAAGTTTTTTTTGTATACAATAGATATCAAATTAGAAAGCGTTTGAACCTCTCCTTAAAATATACACAATATATTTAGTAAGATATGTGAAATATTATGTCTGTTGACATGCTACATACTATTGGTTATTTGAACCACATTTGTAAATCAATAGATATTCTCCAAAAGATAGTTTGTACATAACCATGTGTCACACACAATACTGCAATTTAACATTATTACCCATTTAATTTTGAATTCAAAATTTTGAATTATTCATAACTTTCAACAAAACCTGTTATCTTTTAAAAGATAAAAGTGCTTCAAAGGAATTACTTTCAGGGATAACCATAAAGGTGTAAATTAATGGAAATTTTTGTTGTTTTCTTCTAGATTCAAGATGTGGATGAATCTATCACCCTTAACTGAAACCTACTATGCATTCCCTGGGGCAAAATGAGTATTTTTAAATACTAGCCAATATATTATCCATAATATTTCTGGTTTTGATTCTGCCTTTCACAAAGAATTTAAAAGATTTTGAGGATAATATATTGAATTTTATAATGGATTTGTCAATCGTTTAATCCCCTCATGTATTACATGCTCATAAATTCTCTAATTGCATTTAGTGACTTTTTCTCAAATTTTGTGAGTATATGCTTATGGAAATTATCAAAGTTAATGTATTATACATTGAAATTAATATTAACAACTCATTTTCCACCAATGTTTTTGACTATCAACACATGAATTTATCAACAGTTGTTTTTAATGTTTTCTCAAGATTAATTAACATCAAAAGATAACTTGAGTTCTTCCTCCAGAGGTCTCTGTTTCTCAACTGTAATGAAATTAATATGCCCCATGAGTACAAGGAAACTCTATGTACATACCGAGTCTATCACAACTGCAAACTTTTATCATTGGAAATAATCTACCATGTTTGACCTAGACCAAAGCAAAAGTGATACAGTGACATTTTCCCCCTATAATAATACTCAGAAATAGTATAAAAATGTACTTTCTTAATATGAGAATATACTTTAAATAAATAGCATTCAAAAAGTTTACAATTTCACATGTAAATATAAATTTGGGTTTCTGATTTAGCTTTATTCTCTTTAAAAAAAATAATCCTATGAGAATAAATGTAAGGTTTATTTATTTATTTATTTATTTTGTAGGTTTTTTTTTTTTTTTTTTTTTTTTTTAGTGTTTTTTTTTTTTTTTTTTTTTTTGCTATAAAGTGTGTGCATTAGCCAGAGAGACAGAGAGAAACAGAGACAGAAAGTGAGAAATCACTCCCATGAGGGTATGGCCATGCTGCAATCCCTTCTCCTCCGTTCTCCTCTTCAGATTTTGGGCACACATGCACAATCGCCCAGCATGAATTTCAAATCTCTGTGTACAGGCCCTGAACAGCAGTCAACCACGTGGGAGTCCAGTGATGTAATCATTACACCATTTGCTGATCCTGGTTTATATGTTTTATTATTTATTTTTGCTGTAGGGTGTGTGTGCTCACCAGAGAGAGACAAAGAGAGGGAAAGTGAGAAATCGCCCCTCAGAGAGGATGGACACTTCATCCCTTCTTCTCCATTCTCTTGGGATTTGAGGCCTGCATGCACATGTGCCTGGAGTAATTTTCAAGCCACTGGGCCCATGACTTGAACCACTTAGTTGGCTGTGTCGAATCCAGCTGCCCCAATCTCTAGGCCATCTGCTGGCCCAAGTTTATAAGTTTTATGTTGATTTTATAAATGTTTCTTTATAAACACAGGTAAAAAATAAAATATATCACTTTTACATTCTTCTACAATATTTATAAATTTCATGTTTTCTAATCTTTTAAAATACATATTTTACTTTTATATTAAACAAAGTTAAGAATATATGAAGTGAAATACAGTGTAGCCTGAAGAACAAATCTTGTAATACATCTCATGTCCAAGGACTGAATATAATTTTGACATCATTATTTTTGGAACTTATATTTTTTATGAGTTTTGCATACATTATACCTTAAACATAAAATATGCTCGGGAATGAAAAAAGTTTACTATAATTCTTAACTTTTTCTTCCCTTAAAGGTACAACTAATAATTTTAGGAATCCTTATCAGAGACAAAGCTTAACTCTTAATATTAAATAAGGAATATTAAAAGTTAACAAATAACTTACTAGCTAATTTTTAGAAAGCAAAATATTTCTCTAGACATAGAAGAAATATACATAAACATTGTAAATTTTGCCATAATTTAAAGGCGGGGCAAGTTTAGATTCTACAATATATCCAAACAATACTAGTTGGTCTCACACACATATTCTCACCTCATATTACTGCAGTATACTATTTCTTAATATGAGAATATACTTTGAGTAGCTAGTATTCAAAAAGTTTAAAATTTCAAATGTAAATGACTTAAAAACAGAAGCCTCATATCTATTTCTTTAACATCTACCTACTCTAACCTATCAGTCTGGTATAGATACAGCTATACTATAATACAGTGAAATATTGATGTATAAATATTACTTAGACATCCTGAATTTTGCTAATTTAAAACTCTTCTTTTGCTAAACACACCTAGTATGGAGAAGGGGAAATACTGCTTTCACTCTTCATCTGTGAATAAAAACTCTGTGGCACAGTAATGTTAGAAAACATTCATCATGGCCTAGTATGCTGTATAAATCTTAAACCTTTTTCTTCAGCACTCTGTCTCTGTTTTATACATATATATGCACACACACGTATATATGCACACGCACATGCATACATATATACATATATATGCATACATACACACATTAATGTTTATATTGCAGAGTTCTTGATAGAATAGTGAAGTCAACTGAAGGACAAAGGAACAGAATCAGTCTAGGAACTGGAAGGAACAAAAGGAAATAAGGGAAGCAGTGTGGGCTCTATCCTACCATGTCTAACAATGCTTTTCTCTTGAGCTCAGTAGAAAAGAGGTCGAGGGACCAGCAGTTAGCATAATGGCTATGTCGCTGGACTCCCACGTAGTTGACCGTGGTTCGCGTCCCGGACCCGGTGGCTTAAAACTCACGCCGGGCGTGTGTGCCTGCATGCCAAAGAGCCCGAGAGGAGAATGGAGAAGGGATTGTGACGTAGCCATCCCCCCTGGGGAGTTATTTCTCGCTTTCTGTCTCTCTGTCTCTGTCTGGCGAGCTCATGCGCCCTGATTGAGTTTATTTAACTTGTCTGAATGTGAGAATAAAATGATGAAGTTATAGAAAGTGAAGGAGGATATTGCTTTTCACAGTTCTGCATAAATCTCCTTGTTTTGATGCCATTCTTTTGTGAGCAGAGGTAGAGAGTACCCTGGTATAAATATCTATGTTGTGGAGGCCATTAACTAGAAAAAGGGTGATGTTTCTAGACAGCACAGGAACGAAAAGTGACCCATGAATTAGATGCCCAGGAATTAAAATCATTCTTTGCTAGATGTACGTTTCTTCCTGTGACATAAACCAGGGCTCATACTACTTGTGTTCATTTTAACCCTAAAATATATCAGTCTGACAGAAGTCATAATAAAATGTAAAATTTATAGAAGGCTTAATGTAAACTAGACAGAGTTTTCTGTACTTGGTTGATGTTAATATTATCCCATGATACACTTAAGACAAGGGTCTTGGCGAACATAGACGCTGTTCATAATCTCGGTAGATGACAGGGTTGGAATGACAGAGTCACTTTGGGAAAAAAAATCTCCATTCAAAATAGTTTACCATGTGACTCAGGTAGCTAGTATTATGGATGTGGCTGGTATATTATTGAGTCCACTGCCTGTCACGGCTATGAAAGGGCCCCAGTTCAAACAGGATGTATTCATTGGTTGAATGATTCGTGTGATATGAGAACTACAGAGGGATTCCTGATTGGAGGTCAGAGTGTGGAAAAAGATCTAAATATGTGTTTTTAGAGCAGTTAGGAGAAATATCCAGTGATCGAGAAAGTATACTTTCAAAACCACCAAATTCTACAAGGATTTACTTAAATACAAAATATATATATATATATTAATGGAAAATGTGGGTATTTTTTGTAAGTCAGTTTTTTTTTTTTAAATTGATGACAGAGGGTAAATACTCATCAGAGACAGATAGAAAGACAGAAAGAGAAAGAAAAAGAGAAAGCACCTTCCAATGGGGAATGATAATCCTAATCTCTTTTTCTTTCTCCATCCGGTGGAGAATGTGGGCACATGGGCATGGACCCAGTATGCTTTTTGTCAGCAGGGCCAGGATTTGAATGTGGTCGACTATGTAGGATCCAACTCCCTTAACCTCTGGGACACAGGGCTGGCTCAGAACATCTTTAATAGATAATATATTGACCACAACAAATAGAAAAAATAAAAAGTAGGCACCTGTCACTAACATTTTAATCAAAGAGTATCCCACTTTTTCAACTGCATATGTTTGTATGTCATCCAAACTGCATGTTCTGATCCAAAGATGCTAATGAGTATCATATTTCATAAATTTACTAACTAACTGGATGGGCACATGAGTCTGAGAGTCAAAATGGAACATGGCATACAATTTTAACAGAAATAAACAGAGACAGAGAAAAAAAAAGGACAGAAACTGAGGGGAGAGAAAAAGACAAAATGAATACCTTAAGAAATAAAAATGGACTAAAACAAGGGACAAATTAAAGATCAGAGGAAACCATTACAAAGAAGGGGAAAATAATTAAAAAAAATTTTTTTTATTTCATTGGGCTTCAATTCCTTCCAAAGCTAATATTTATCTTTTTTGAGTACTGAATTAAATGAAAATCACTAATATAATAAAATTTTGGAATTAAGTCTTTGTGTATTATGTATTTATAGATGTATTTTCTATTATTGTTAATGCATGAACTTTCACTGTTAATATGAGTCGCACATGATCTGATGGTTACTAAATATCATACTTTAGTTTTTCTCTGTAAAATGGGTTATTTGTACTAGTAAAAGCAAAAAAAAAACCACACGTGCTATAATTACTAGTTATTCTTTTATTTTCTTTAAATAAAATGGGGAAATTACAGCAAAAGAGCAACACAATTTCAGGATGTAAAATACATCTATTTTTTAATTTAGACACTATGGAAATGTCTTTTTATATTATTTGTTTATATATTTATATATTATTTATATTTCTATATTAAATAATATTAAAATAAATAAATATTATTTACTATATACTTACTTAATTTTTATATATTTTTATATAATTATATAACAAATGTAAATTTATCAAAATTATAAGATTGAGGCTATTTCCTCCCTTTTACTCTTCTGTGGACTTAATTTGATGGACTGGGATGTTTAATCTAAATAACACATTTTAAAATTCGAATTTTGGAGAATTTCTCTAAACTCTAATAAATTAGAAGACTTCTGACGTACATTTTGCATTAGAAACAAATATTTAACAGTAGAGAAAAAGAAGAAGGCCTTAAAATTGACTGCTATCTCTATATCTAGTAACCTAATATTTTTTTCTTTTGAAAACTGGGTTAGCACTAAGCTGTATGATTTTGGGGAAAATTGGTTTAACTCTGTAAAGATCATTTATATATAAATATTAAAAGAGGCAATTAACCAATGATGGAACCTTTTATGTACACATACTTTTAAACATGAGATGATGCTTTGAAAATGTTTTAAATGATCCAAATTCAATCAATTAGTATCAAAATAGAATTAAATATAGTTACATGTACACATAAGATTTTATAATAGCAATTAGTCTTTAAAACAGTGTGCAGCCTTAAAACGTGAAATAATTCATTTCAGTTTACATGGTATGTTCAATAGGAAAGTGTGGATAAAAATAACATGAAAAGACTTGAAATCTTGTCAAGATACTACCAGATTATTTGATCTTAATTCAGTTGCTTAAACTTTCTGAAATCCTGAGTTCCTAATTAACAAAATAAGGGGACTTAAAGTGTCATTTCTCATGCCTACCACATAAGGTTGTTGATCAAATGAGACAATAACTCAAAAGGAACTTGTCAAATGCAGTCATTAGTTGTTATTAGTTTAAAAACTGCCAACAAAATTGTCCAAAACTCTTGACACTAAATGCTATATCTTTCATTACAGGCAGGAATGGATTCTACTGGACAGTCATTTAGATAGCAGCTGAGTAGCCATGAAAGTGTTAAGAGGAATGTAGGGACCAGCAGATGGCATAATGGTTATATCACTGGACTCCCACGTAGTTGACCGCGATTTGAGTCTTGGACCTAGTGATTTAAAACTTATGCCAGGTGTGTGTGTGTTGTGTGTGTGTGTGTGTGTGTGTGTGTGTGTGTGTGTGTCTAAAATCCCAAGAGGAGAATGAAGGAGAAGAGATTGCAGTGTGGCCATTCCTCAGGGGGATGACTTCTCTCTTTCTCACTTTCTGTCTGTCTCTTTCTGTTTCTCTAGTGAGCGCACATGCCCTATAACAAAAATCTTTTAAAAAGAAAAAAAAAGAAAGAAAAAGAAAAAAAAAAAGATTCAATGGAACAAACTGTTTTTAGCCATCATCTTAGACATAAGTTGCAACATAACAGGAGAAACCAAGATATAAGGAATTGAAAACAATTGAAAATGAGTTATTATACAATGAAAAAGGAGTTAGTTTTAAAATTGTGGTCTCATGCTCAGCAGGTGGTACACTGGTTAAGGCACTATACTTCCACATGGCTGACAGCAAGCAGTTCGAGTCCCAGACGCAGTGACTTGAAACTCACTGTGTGCACAAAATTCTAAAAGAAAAATGGGCTACAAAGGATTGCAGCATGGCCATCCTCCCGAGGGAGTGTGTGGGGGGAACTTTCTCACTTGCTTTCTCTCTGTCTCTCTCTTTCTTTCTGGTGAGTGTACCCATCCTAAAACAAAAATCTAAAAAAAAAAAAAAAAAAAAAAAAAAACCTGAGGAATAAAGGTAGTGATTTTTAGTTAACAGGTTTTATGTTAAAGAGGCCACATATTATAACTATGTCTATAATAATGATCTCATTAAAGAAATAAAAAAGTTAGTTTACATGGATTACTATATACCTACCAACTCCAGACATTTCAGGAACACTGGCAGTGTACAAGTCTTTTGTGAATTTTGGCTCATTGTCATTGATATCATGGATTTTAATGATAAATTCAGACTCCGGTTCCACCTGTCGCCCAGTCTTTCTGTCTATAGCCTTGGCACGAAGAACATAAAGGGATTTTTCTTCTCTGTCTAGTTTCTTTGCAGCGTGAATGTCTCCTGTATTTTCATCTATAACAAATATACTGCCAGCCCCGTCTCCTGTTAATATGTATTTTAAATTTCCATCTCCTTTATCTTGATCAGTGTGAAGCTTCAGAGAGGTAGAAAAGAAGAATTCTGTAAATATATATGCATGTTATTACAGAAAAAAATAATTTTGGCACATATCAATTTGTCTCTAATAACATCACAGAAATACAAATCATGGTTATCTTAATTTTCACTGATGAGAAATCAAGCTTTTTAGTTTTCGTTACACTCAAAACATTCATACATTTGCAATTAAACAACATAAGGGGATAGATCTGAAATAAAATGAAAATTAATATATCTCTTTCACAACACAGCATTTCAAAGATCCTAATGAGTAGAACGTTACCTAGAATTAAAACTCTAGTTTATAAAATGAGAAAAATCATTAACCTAGATCTTGAGGATTAAAATATTAATTAATCTTAATTACATTTAAGATCACTAAACTCAAAGACACAAGAGAAATTTCTGAACTTCAATGATAAGTTATATAAAGATAAGTACAAAACTTATTATAAGTTCAGAATGAATATCTCAATTTTTAACTGATTCTTACTCACAGCAATTTAGAATTGTCTAGAAATATAGGCTTTATATCAGAAAATAAAGGAAGAAATAAAGAAAAAAAAATTTTTTTGAGAAGTTTTTGCTATAGGACACGTGCGCTTGCCAGAAAGACAGGAAGAGACAAAGAGACAGAAAGTGAGAAATCACCACCCAGGGGGCATGGCCACGCCACAATCCCTTCTCCTCTCCATTCTCCTGTCAGGATCTTGGGCATGCACGCAAATGCACCCGGTCTGAGTTTAAGCCACCAGGTCTGGGATTCGAACTGTAGTCGACTACATGGCAGTCCAGCGACATGGCCATTATGCCAACTACTGGTCCCAAGAAATTTAATCTCATAGATTCTTTTGACACAACTTTGAGAAAGTATTTTTTCAATCTCAATATTCTCACTTTAGAGAAGTGATATGTGAATATGTTATAAGACATTTTAATTTTCTATGTGCTAAAAAGCATAACTTTACTTCTGTTTATTAAGTCATGTCTTAAAGGAAAAAAAATAGGATATTTTAATATGTTTTCTTTATTTTGGAATGTACCCACCTGTAAACTAACTTCTTAAAATATAAAGCTGGGCATTAGTTATTTAAAAGAAATAGGTCACGTAATCACAGATGTTTTTAATCAAAAAATATCTTGGAGGTTTTGTAATCCTACACTATTCTGAAATTGGAGACTATTTTTTTATTAGAATGAAAAAATCTAACTGACAATGAATGTATATATTGGGTCAATGGAAAAGTCTTGGTACAATTTTGCCTAGAAAAGCATAGAGAAATAGCTCATGATTTTTCCAATGACCCAAAATTATATAATTATGGGGTAGGATGTGATGTTTTAATGTACGCTTACGTTGTAGGTTGATTATATCTCTCTAATTAGCAAATCCAGCACCTCACATGCTTATCAATTTTTTAAATGGTAAAAACATTTGTAGAAGGTGTATGGGGAAAGGAGAAAATTTGACCAAAGGGCGCAAAATTTCAACTAGGCAGGAGGAATAAGCTTTCCTAATTTTTTGGCAGAGTGGTGAAGTTTCATTAATCGCTTGCACAGAATGATGGCTATAATAAATGATGTATTGTATTGTCCAAAATCACTAACAGAGTAATTTTTAAATAAAACTGGATCCTAACTCACCTATCCCCACCTGCGGTTTCCTTACATCATATGCTTTACGATTCTCATTACTCCTGGCCTCACCTGTTTCGTTGGTGTCCATTTACTTTTTGAATTATTTGACTAACGCAATAACATGATTCATGGTAGCCAAAATTAGAGACTTGTTAGAGACCTTAATTCTCCTTGCTTTTAAGCTCAACATCAAAAAGAGTCATTATATGTAGTTTCTCTGCAATATCTGCTCCACCAACCTGTGAAATCTCTATGGCTACCACTTGACCTTTCCCTCCATCAAATCTTACCTGGGTTTCTGTAGAAATAGACAACAATGCTGCCTCCACTTTGTTCTTCTCTAATTTTCTATATAAACAAGGGAAGTGTTTTTATATTACAAATCTGCTCATGTCATCTAACTTAAAAATCTTCATGAAGGTACAGTATTTAAGAACTATAGACTGGGACCAGATGGTGGCACTGAAGTAAAGATCTTGATGCTCTGGGAAACTCTCCCACATGGGTAAATTTATATTTCAAGTCTAGACACCTATCTGAGTACACTGGACACATGACCAGCAACTGGAAAAACACTGTATGTGGATCGTGGCATCAAGACCCTTCTGGGGGTACTGCATCTCTCTCTCTCTCTCTCTCTTAAAAAGAAAAAAAAATACTGAAAGAACCTTTTAAATAAATATGTAAATAAATCATAAAACCAAAGACCTATAAATTTCATGCAAATTTCTTTTACATCGGGCATGTTGCTTGCTTTTCATTTAACTTTTAATTCTCCTTCTACTAAAAATGGATGTTATTTTTTAAAAGTGTCTTCACTTTGATTATTATTGCATCATTGGAAGCCTATAGCTTCCTTTATACATCCTTGATAATCTGGCCCATATTTCAGATGCATCTCGGTCCCTTTTCTCCCTTTCTTTGCATTCTTATAACTACCAACTTGCTTTTTTTCATATCTCAGATGTTCCAACTTTTACACCAGATGTTCCTATCTGCTTCTCTCATCTTTTAACACCCTTCCCACTTCTCTGCATTTCCCCCTATTTGTCATATCTCATTTTTAAATTTCTCCCTTCGGGACACATTCCGAGACTCACTAGATTATAACAGATGAGCCTGCTCTGTCATTCCACAGCACACTTTATTCCCTATCAAGATGTTGTCACATTTGGTGTGTTTACTGTGTCCATTAAACTATAAAATATATAAGGAGAAGACTGATATTTTTCTTTTAAATCACTTAACATCTATTTCTTCCTTTTTTTTTAGGGTGAGATTTTTGCTATAAGGCATGAATGCTTACAGAGACAGAGAGACAGAAAATGAGAAATCACCCCCATGGGGGATAGCTATGCTGCAATGCCTCTTCCTTCATCCCCATGTTGGGATATTGGTCATGAATGCACACGTGACCAACATGAGTTTCAAACCTCCAGGTCCAGGTCTCAAACCACAGTTGGCCATGTGAAGTCCAGTGATGTAACCATTATGCCATCTGCTTGTCCCCAATATCTCTGTCTTTATTTTTGTTGTTGTTGTTGAAATATCTTTGCTATATGGAGTATACCTTCACCAGAGAGATTGAGAGACAGAGAGACAGAAAGTCCATCCAAGGGGATGGTCATGCCTCAATCACCTCCTCCATTCTCCTCTCAGGATTTTAGGCATGCACACACACAGGCCTGATGTGAGTTTTAAGCTACTAAATCCAGTACTTGAACCACTGTCTACTACATGTAATTCTAGCAATGTAACTATTATGCCATTTGCTGGTCCTGTGGTCCTTGCTATTACTTAAAGACCAAACTTTTTAAAAATTTAAATTAGATTGTTTATTTATCTATTTTAGAAAAATAAATTCAATTCACTCAACAAATATTGATAAAATAAGTTTCAGTCTCAATACTACAGTTCTGAGAAAGATTGTAAACATTTTGCACACTAGTCAGACCTATTCTTTCAGGCACGGTGCTCTTTTGATGACAAATAAATGAATGAATACACACTATTGTGAACTATTTCACACAGTACAAAATGGATTTTCATTTGTTTTTCTCTTCTAAGCAATAGTTTATCATTTATAATTTTTTGTTTCTTTTTTTTTTGTCTCCACCAAGTACTTTCCCATCTTACTGTCACTAGCATCCATACCAATCTATCATTGATAGTTCCATCACTGATTATTTTAAAGAATCAGATCATGTTACTAGAGGGAGCATGATGGTTAAGGTGTTAGATTCCCACATGGTCAACCACAGTTCAAGTCTTGATCATGGTGGCTTGCTTTCTGTTTCCCTCTCTCTCTCTTTCTCTGTCTGTTTCCCTCTGGTCAAATTAAAAAAATAATAATAATTAAATTAAATTAAAATAATTCTTGGGACTAGCAGATGTCTCTAGACTCCCACATGACTGTAGTTTGAGTCCTGGATCCAGGGGCTTGAGGCTCACACTGGGTGTGTGTGTGTGCCTGCCCAAAATTCTGAGAGGTAAATGGAGAAGAAGGGATTGTGGTGTGGCCATCACCCATAGGGGGTGATTTCTCGTTTTCTGTTTCTCTGTCTCTCTGGCAAGCATATGTGTTCTATAGAAATGATCTCTCTTAAAAATTTCTTTTAAAAAGAAGAAAATTAAATCATAAATCACATAAAACTTGCCCTTCTAAATTACATCATAGATATCTCTATATGTCAATAGTATTCTTTTAATAACTAAACACCTAAAATATTTCCAAGCTATTTGTAATAAATATGCTTGTACATATATTCTTTCATTGCCAATTCTTATTTTCTAAGGGAAGAAAAGGAAACATTTAATGAATGGTAACAATCAGGAGAGACCAGATGATATTGCAGTAGTGAAACAAAAGTTTCTGCAAGGCCAAACCACATAAAAAGGTTTCCAGTTCATGTGAGGAGCCCTCCTCAGTGTACTGGGCAGGCATTGGCCCGTGATTTAGGCTGGCTGAAGGTTTGAGGTGGATAGTGAGATCAAGACCCTTTTAAGGGTTGTCTGTCTGTCTCTTTCCATGTGTCCCCTACACTCATAAAATAAACACATTTTAAAAATTTTTAAAAAATAAGGAAAGTACAAAAAAGAAAGATAAATGGATAGGAGCCAGGGGCTTGACGCTCACACTGGGTGTGTGTGTGTGCCTGCCCAAAATTCTGAGAGGTAAATGGAGAAGAAGGGATTGTGGTGTGGCCATCACCCATAGGGGGTGATTTCTCGTTTTCTGTTTCTCTGTCTCTCTGGCAAGCATATGTGTTCTATAGAAATGATCTCTCTTAAAAATTTCTTTTAAAAAGAAGAAAATTAAATCATAAATCACATAAAACTTGCCCTTCTAAATTACAT